CTTTCTTGTCCTTTCTCACGAGCTCCTCTCTTGCTGTTCCTGTGTTCCCGGGTGCTGTTCTAAGGCCACTTGTCTTATCACTTTACACACTCACTGACAATGGGTGTGTTCTGTCCTAGGGCACTTTCTGGTTGCCCATGCTCAGATCTGTACCTCTAGCCCAGAACTGTCCTCTGAGCTTTAGACTCCGAACACCTTATATCTTCAAATGCTTTCTGGACCTGCCCTCCTGGATGTCCAGGGCTCTGCGTCCTCCCTCTTTCTCTCCGTATCTGTAGAACTTCCTCCACGGCTGCCCGGATACCTTCCTCCTGTGTCATCCGTGCTGGAAACTTGGGAGTCATCCTGAGGCTCTCTGTCTCTGTCTTCTCACACTGCATCTCCATCTTCAGGTCGGCTGATCTTTCCTCCTCCATCTCTCTTAAACTCCCTCTTCCTTTCCCATTTTTTTTGTTCCACTCTCTCATTTTAGGCCTCTAGATTCTTGTCTACACCCCTGTAGCAACTGGACAGTTGATTCCCTGCCTTCAGTCTTGTTCCTTTCAAATCCACCCTCTGTTAATTTCCAGAGTGAACACTGTGAAGTTGGCATGTCACCCCCTGCTCGATACCCACTGGAAACCCCATCTCCTAAAAACCTCATTTCCTGATTCAGCGCACGTCCCACTGTGACCTGGCTGTGTCTGCCCTCTTCTTGGCTTCCATCCATCCCTGCCTCATCCCTGCCCCCCAGGAACGGCCAGCATTCCTCCCAGCTCACCGTGGCGGTCCTCACGTGTAGAAGTTGATGGTGAGATGTGGGCTGCCTTATGTCTAGAAAATCCAAGCAAACCAAACCATGCCCCTCCCAGGGAAGATAGATGTTCAGGAAATGACAAACGGGGAGTCACATCATCTCTTCATTGCTGGCTGGTCTTGGGCCGCAAATCCAGTGCAGACCAAGTGGTCAGGCTGGGAGACTGTGAAACTTTGGGCAAATTCCTTAACCCTTTTACATGTCAGTTTCTTATCTGTAAAATGGAGATAACGATTGTACCTACCACATGAGGAGGTTGTGAGATTTCCAGGAACTAATCCATGCAGAACTTAGAACTCTCTGGCATATGATAGCTATCAGTGAAGGTGAGCTAAAATAGTTATTATGTTAGGTCACATTACTTAACAAATCTAGCGCAACACTGCGTTGTAGGCATGACAGCGGGTTTCTGCCTTGTTTTCAATCCACTTTCTTTTTGGATGTTTTGTCTCACATGCACTACAGGACTATAGCCTGCATATATTTTCCTCATAACTCTTGGCTGGATTCTGGCCTGAGAGCTCTCGATAAATAACTTCCCTTTGAGATGTAGCGTCCTATGCTATCTGCAAATAATTAGACTTAGGAAACAAGTTTTGTGATCTAGTTTGCCTAGATGACATTTCATCTTTGCAGCTGATATGTTAAGTCCCCACACTCTTGTGTATTCAGGGGATCACGAATCTCTCTCATTCGTTTACTATGTCCCCAGGGTGAGAGAACAATGTCTGACTCATAGCAGGAGGTCAGTAAATACATGCTCCATAAGCGAAATCCCAAGATGTGCACTGTTAATAATGCAGTCAGACTCTATGCCTGGCATTGGGTGGGTGCAGGGGCGTCATCCACGCTTTTCTTTGCCTATGTCTCCTGCGCCACAGTGACGGCCCCAGCAGAACTCGCTGCTGGAACGTGGCAATGCCCCACAAGTTCAAACTTGTTCGGCGTGAAAGGCCCAGATGCGGCTCAGCTGCACCATTTAAAGAGAGAGGGTCCTAAGAAGAAGCTAGGTGGTGATTGATTTCGTGTGAAAGGTGATGGCGGCTTCAAGCGAGTAGAAGAGAACGGGAAGGTTTATCCTCCTAAACCCCTGGAGCCATTCAGCAGTGCAAGGGGCCAGGGGTCTGACCTCCCTGCCTCTAACAAAGGCTGAGATCACAGACTGTCAGAGGCTGCAGAAGGCTGTTTTGTCACGGAGGGAGGCTTGGTCAATGTCAGTCTTTGAAAGTGTCCCTTTTAACTTTAAGAATTGAAGATTTTCATAGAAATCAGTAGGTCAGAAACTGATTTCTCATTTGGGCTCACCTCTATATTTTTTGGCCTGTCTGCTGACGTTTTGGCCATTCTTCTTTTCATTAGCAGTTCTACCAAGGAGCAGGCATGGGGAATTAAAGGAGTCGAAACTCTCATGAGGCAGTTTATCTGCTTTGCTAGAAGAAGAATGGAATTGGCTCTCAAGCCTGAAGTTAGGTTTATAGGACCATTTCTCATTTTAATTGCCTCTTCCTGCCTCTGTGCTCACTGACTACCCAGCACCGGCAGGGGAGCGTTTTTGGTGGTTCTTTTTGATTTCTATGCAAATGCTAATATTTGCAAAATAATTTCATAGAACTTGCTTTTATGGAGCTGAAAGCACTTAAGAAGGTTTTAGGTTTTATTTTAACTTTGCAGATAATCATATATTGGCATTTTAGGTCTCTTATTCTCTGCTCAGTAGATAGGTGAGAAGCCTGGCTAATTTTTGCCTTTGTTCCAGGTCCTTTTGTTCAATAAGCCCTTATAGGCCAAACCACGGGTTTCTTCTCCATGAAGGACGGAAAGTGGCACGTGCAGTGTAGCACAAAGCATCCGGTGACCACGGTGTGGCCTTGACGGAGGGTGGGGTCCCTGGGGAAGGGTTCCGAGCAGGTTGGCTCACCAGAGAACACCCCCCCTCCCCCGCCCCCCACCCCCCGAGTCTTGCTTTCTGAGAACTGCTCTCCTGGGAGTCACAGCATTTCCCTTACAGGCCAGGTCAGCACTTTCTCTGTGCTGGAGTGATAGATGAGAGGGGCGAGGGGAGGGCTCTGGACACGTGTCTGAGGAAGCCTGGGCAGACTCGGTAGTTGGTTGGGTGGTAAGAGAGAAGGAAAAGTCTAGGGTGACGACCAGGATTCTGTCTTTGCATGAATAGCTGATTCTGCAGAAAGATCGTGAGTCTGAAATTGTGTGTGTTTATTTTGAGGTGCTTCCAGAGCATCCCTGTAGAGATACCTGGAAGACAGTTGAAAATTCCTATCTGTGGTTTGGGAGCCATCACAACTGGATATATATGGATATATCAGCATGTAAAAGCGACCATTGGGACCACAGTGGAAGAACAAAACAGACCCCAGGGCAGAACCTTGGAGAAAGTCAGCATTTCACCTCAGGCCTGGGAAGCAGATGTAGTAAAATAACCCGAGAAAGTTCAGAGCGAGAAAGAGAACCTGGTGATACAGTGCTGTCACCATGTAATGCGTCACGGTGGGAGGTGGCAGCCAATGGAAGGAGGTGGGGAAGGAGGGGGGCGAGGTCTGCAGAGGGAGCCCGGGCTGTACCCACAGGAGCGGTTTGCCTGGGAGATCTGGGGGGCCTGAGAGAGGAAGGGGATGGTATGGAGGCGGCAGGCAGGACTGCGCTTCGAGAGCGTGGGGTGGGAGGTGGCCTGCAGGCAGGGAGTAGAGCGATTTAAACAGGGCCCAGGTAGATGGCTTTTCTTGTCATTTTCTTCCCTTCCTCCCTCCATCTCTTTCTTTCTCTCAATGGGGAGACTTCAGCACATCTGTAGGCTTGAAGAACCATGGAAAGAGGGGCTGATTGGAGTGTGTCAAAGAGAGGACTTTTCCCGTAGTCGGTGCATCCCGCTTCAGAGATGCACGGTTCTGCTTTAGCTCTTCCAGGTGGCAGTGGAGGAATATTGATGACTTGGACAGTTGAGAAGGCGAGGTGGATTTGAGGTCTCACCAGACACAGTGGTGCATCAGCTCCCACAGACATAGTAAGAGTCGTGTAAAATTGCTAAAACAGTAAATGTAAAATTGTAAAAACAGTAGATGCTTTCTGTGGCATCTTAGATACCAGTTTATGTTGGATCATTTAACTCTCACAGCAGCCTTACCAGGTAGTGGTATCATCCCCTTTGAATTGATAAGAGGCTCAAAGCTTAGAGGAGTTTCACTACTTGTCTGAAGTTCCACGGCCAGGCCGTGCTGGGGGTCAGTTGAACGTGCCGCATCTGAGTCCCCTGCTGTCCTGTGGGCCGCTCTGTGCTCTTCCGTTCCCGCTGGGCCAGGAAGCTGCTTGTGTCACCAGACAGGCCCTGAATGCAAAACTGGGATTTCCATAGCCCTGTGCTGTATAGCTGTGTAGCACATGGCTCAGAGGGACACTTGATTTTGTCCTGACCAGGAGTAAGGGCCTGGGAAGGACAAGGATCCGGTTGTCCATCCATCGCCTGGCCAGTGGATGGGTCTCAGTGGGCCTCCCAATAGACCTGAGCAGGCGCCTCTTCCCCTCACCAGTCTCGGCACCCCCCGAAGCAGTTGCAAGTTGGCAGATGAGACTGCTCGAACGACCCGTTGGTGCCCTGATCCTAAAAGAGCCTTGTCTTGCCCAGGTGGGGGTGTTGGAAACAGATTTTATCAGGCAGATTTCCCTAAGGGGGGACAGTGATGTATATACGTGGTGCTTGCAGGTAAATGCTGTGGAGGAGTCCATTTAGTTAAAGAAGCAGGTGCATCAGGGAAGTAATGGTAAGGGGAGATGCTTGAATGGCATTCACTTATAAAAAAAAAGAAAAGAAAAGTGATAGATTCCTGGGTTGCTTTTTGTTATTTTCTTCTTAAACAAGAACTATAAATCTGGGGTGGACAGCAAAGAAAAGAAATCAGAGCAGCCTTATTTAGCAGAGACCCCTCTTACCCTGGGGACCCCTGCCAGGTGACTTGGACGGTCCCTGCAGAGGCAGGACTCAGCCGCCCCAGGTTGGCATCTTTTCCTGGAGCATTTCCCAGCAGGCGGCTTGCCCCTCCCAGGCCTTCCAGGAAGCGGATGCTCCCAGGTGGGAGAGTCGTGGAGGAGGACTGCGGGGGGGGGGGGGGGGGGGGGGGTGAGGGTGTGGGGGGAGCTGGAGCTCGATCGCACAGGGCTGGCCTGGCCCTAACCCTCCTCCTTGTCGCTGCAGCCTTTCCGCTGCGCCCATTGCCACTACTCATGCAACATCTCGGGCTCCCTGAAGCGGCACTACAACAGGAAACACCCCAACGAGGAGTACACCAACGTGGGCACCGGGGAGCTGGCGGCCGACGCGCTCATCCAGCAAGGTAGGCGAGCGGGCCGCTCCTGTCCTGCCCGGCCGAGCCCCACGGGGCGGCGCTGCGAGCTCCTGCAGCGCCGCCCCGATCCCTGAACGGTCCTCAGCGTAACTGCTGTCCTCCGCCTCCTCCTTGCTGTTTATATCATGTTACTTATGCCAGGATTGGATTACAGCGACCTTAATGGAACTCTTAAATGGACAAAGCGATAATTAACCCACAGATTTTACCACCCTTCCCATAATGTTCACTTGTCAGTACAGTCGTCCCTCAGTATCTGCGGGGGATCAGCTCTGGGACCCTCACGGATGCCGCAGTCCGTGGATGCGCGATCCCTTGTGTAAAATGGCAGAGAACGGTCAGCATTTGTATCTGCAGCCCCACGTTGGATGCGGAACCCGGGGGATGCGAAGGGCTGACTGTATTGCCTTCTGTCCTTGGTCCATGCACACGTTTCGCACAGATGAAAGTTCGTGGCTTACTTAACAATGATTAACATGCACATTTTGTTTTCCTTTGGTGCACTGTCTTCCTACTTTAACCTCTGAGGGCTTTTCGCGATACAGCATCAAGTATTATTTAACTATGCTCCTGTTGTTATAGGGTTTCCAGATTTTTCTTTTATTGCAGTTGTAAATAATGCTGTACTGATCGCATTTATAGGTGGGATTCTTTAGATTATCCAAAGATGTTTATTGAGTGCTCAGATTACTTAGGCATCTTGAAAAGGAAAAACTATTTAGAACATTTAAACTAAAGAGAATGAATGAAAGCCTCTAATATCATTGAAAAGTTTGGCGGGGTTTTGCTTCTTTTTTTAATAAATAATCGCATTCCCACTTGAGAGGGTTTAGCTCACTTGCTGTTGCCACACAGAGAAATGCTGTTGTATTTATATCTGCACTTAGGTAATTCAGCTGAAAAATGATTGCAGCGTGCCATGCGTCAGTTGCTACTCTTTCCTGAATCCTGTGACTCTTTGAAGCTGAAGACCATTTTAGAAACCTGCCCCCGTAAACAGAGCTGTGGGATTGTAAACTCGGCTGCAGCCGGGGCCGCTCCTAGTTTTCCGATGCAGCGTGAAGCTCCACTTGCTGTAATCGCCATGAAAGGCATCTTAATGTAAAACAAATGAATTGACAGTATCCTTCAGCACTTTCGGTGACAGGGCTGATGTACAGAAATGGATGAGCGGCAGAAAAAACTCGGGATAATTTTAAGCCATCCATTTGGGGTAACGGGACCGTGGGCCTGGCATTGGCTTGAATGGCAGTTTCACGGAGCTGGAGGGCAGGAAGGTGCGGTGCCATTTGGGCAAGTCACCCTCCTCTCTACCTGAGGCCCTGCACCTCAGGTGGAGTTCACAGCAGCCATCCCTTGTGATCGCGGGGAGAGTGAAACGAGAGCACTTGAGTGTCTGGCACTCAATACATTTTCATTTCTTTCTTTTGTTTTTATGTTTTGTTTTGTTTTTCTGAAAATATGCCAGTTCCTTCTAGAGCTGGTGCATCATTTTTTTTTTTTTTTTGTGGTACGCGGGCCTCTCACTGTTGTGGCCTCTCCCGTTGCGGAGCACAGTCTCGGGACGCGCAGGCTCAGCGGCCATGGCTCACGGGACCAGCCGCTCCGCGGCATGTGGGATCTTCCCGGACCGGGGCACGAACCCGTGTCCCCTGCATCGGCAGGCGGACCCTCAACCACTGCGCCACCAGGGAAGCCCTGGTGCATCATTTTTGATGACTCCCCTGTCTAGGAATCACAGAGGAGAGGATAGATCGCCTTAGAGTCACAGTAAATAATTGGAGTAGCGGGCTAGCGATTCGTTTTAGCATCCTTCACACTCTTGGGTTGGATTGGCAGGAAATAGACGTTTACTGTGGCAGTTGGGACAGGCGTGGGGATCTGACTGATGACACTGTCATAGCTCCGTGCTTCCAAACTTTCATCGTTGCCTTGCAGAAAATGTGCTGAGGTCAAGTTGCTTCATGCCCTAAGTTTTCACTTAACTTTCCAAGACTCTCTATAATCAATTGGCATTCCCTGACAGGATCTGGGTTTTATTTCTAATCTTTGCAGGGCTATTTTTGGCCTTTGTGTGTGTGTGTGTGTGTGTGTGTGTGTGTGTGTGTTTATTTATTTTTCCTATGCCCCCCTTTAAGAGACATATTGTGGAAGGAAACAACTAAATGTCTCTTGGCTCATAGGAGACATTGTGCCATTGTGTGTTGGCGGGAAAACTGTCTCTGAAAGCAGCGAGCCGGTTGACTGTGAGTGCAGCTCAGAGATCTCAAGAGCACACAGCTCTCGCTGTGGAGAGTGAAGGAGACAGGGAGAAAGTGGAGCTGGATAAAATGACTGTCTTTGGAAATGATGAGGTGTTTGGTACCACTGGAATTTTTCATTTCCTTTTGATTAATTCCATGTAATTCTCCCTATCCCCACTTGGTTTTATTTTCGTCTTCACATCACTCCTCAAAAGATATCTTTGTGGGACTTTATAATTTCTTGTTTTGAGATAGAGGAATATGTGTTAAAATGATGATGTAATAAAAAACCCACAAATAAAATGCAGTTTTATCAAAACGATGCTAGTCTCCTGAAACCAATGCAGGGACTCCTTGTCCATCAGCTGTGTTTAAACGGTGTCGCACTGTGACACAGGCAGAGCCATCAATTGCTGGGAAAGAGTCTCCTACCCCCAGGCTCAGGGGCTTGGGGAGGGTGTCCGTGCACAGCACTGCAGGAGAGGCAGGAAGAAGGCCGAATAGGCTGAGGTTTCTGCTCCGTGTAGGTTTCTGATGGAAGGCACATGGTGTTTTCCACAGAGTTTGGGTCATTTTCAGCGAGCTCTGGAATGGGGGCTGCTAGGGCATCCACTCGTGTTCTGTGAGTGTTTACCAGCTGGCTCTCCCGGGGCAGGGAGAAGGGAACCTGATTCATAGCATTTGCCAATTTCTGTGCCGTGCATATTTCCGCCAGGGCCAATTTTAAGCTTCCAGTGTGAGGTCGCTGAGCTGGGAAGAGATGGTTCCAGCGGCCCCAGCACACCTCTGGTCCTGGGGGCACAGGTGCCGCTTCCAGCCGCATGCCAGCTGGGCCCCATCAGGAGGCAGCAGTTCCCTCGGGCGCCAGTGCTTTTTGGCAGTTAGACTTGTACTCAATGCTACTTAAGTGTTTTATTCCCTGCTTATGTTTTATGTACTTCTCATATTTTGAAAGCAGATCAGACAATCTCTTGTTTATTCTTCTCAGCCCATCACTTGTTCATTAATATGGATTTGAGGTGTTTTTCCACAAAATACACATTTTTCACATTGTATCGCTTCAGTGGGTCGGCCCCCTTTCCTCCTTTTAAAATGCCCCTGATGAAGCTAGCTCAGGAGCTGGTTCACTAAATCACAGGTTGTGAAAGGCATCCGATGCTTTGATGCTAAGTGTCACAAACTCTCAGCTCACTCCTGGAGCTCACGGTGGGCTAACGATGGGGCTTAGCGGGCTGGTCCTTTCCCGGTGACCTCAAGGCCCTCCTTCAAGTCGCCCCAGGCAGTTGGCACGAGCGGAGGGTTAGGAGCACAGACCCTGGAGGCGGGTCTGTGATCACTCTGGCCCCTGGACCAGTTACTTACCTTCTCTGAGCATCAGGTTGCAAAGATGAGATCTTACTCTTGAAGATTCCAGACCATGCCTGACATGTAACAAGTGCCTGATAAATGGTTCAGATTCCCTATCATGTTTATTCCCAAAGTCCTTCTTCATGGTGCATCTTGAGCCCCTCATGTGTCCCACACTGTGCAAGGCACTGGGCTGTGGTAGCATTTTTGCCCTTCCTGCCTGGGTTGGAGACAAAGGCTGGGCAGCGCCTCCGTGTTCTTGTCCTCTAACAGGAAGTACGCGTTCCTTTTAACAGGCCCCATGCTGCTCATGGGGGAGAGTCATCTGCTCCTCCTGGGTGGAGCCTTAGCTCAGGCTCCCCGTTTTAGGGGATCATTGAGGAAGGGGAGGCAGTTAAGATGAGAAAAGATGTGAGGAAGCGGACCAGGAGAAGGCTTAGTTTTGTCGCATCTGCTAAGATCTTTGCGTTATTTTGAACAATTGTATTAGAGAAGTGTAAATACGTGTACCGTCCGTACCTTAGATGTACATTCACACCAGATTCAGGGAAAACGGTATAGAAGAAAATCCAGAAACTATCAGTTAACCCAAAGTCCTTTATTTGACTTCTGGACATTTTTATTTTAAAATTGTTTATTATTAGGGCCTAGATCCCATACATTATTGGCAGGTGCTTCCAGTGCTGTGATGCTACACCGTGTTGTTGGTTGTTATTTTATATGTTATCTTCTCTCTCACGAAGCCCTGTGGGGTTGGCGTCATCGTTTCCATTTTAAAATGAGGAAGCGTAGGGAGGGAAAAGGACCGGCCCCGGCCACAAAGTGAGCCGGTGGTCAAGCCAGACCGGGGTCCTGATTCAGAGTCTGGCTTTCACCACGGGTGTGCTGGATCTCAGATGCCAAGATTTTGAGGAGTGTGTGAGGGGACCAGGAGGGATGGGGGAGACGTTGCTTAAGCTCCGTTTACCAGTTTCTCACTGGGGTTTGGAACGTCAGCCTGGCTTATAGTCAAATGCACTTGGTTTTTCCTCTGCAGTATTTCCCAAGTCCGATTTCGTATTTCACTTGTTAATAAAATCAAATTACTCTGTATCCACTTTCCTTTGATAATTAAGCTGCTTTTGGTCCAGTTACCCTTGAGTGCCTGTATTAGTTTCTTATTGCTGCTGTAATAAATGACCACAAACTTGGCGGTAGTTTAAAGCAACACGGATTTATGATCTTACCATTCTGAAGGTCAGGAGTCCAAGATGGGTCTCACAGGCTGAAGTCAAGTTTGCTAACAAGTCTGTATTCCTTCTGGAGTCTCTAGGGGAGGATCTGTTTTCTTGCCTTTTCCAGCTTCTAGACACTGCCCACATTCCTTGGCTCGTGCCCCGTCTTCCAAAGCCAGCAGTCTTTCTCAGGTTACGTCACTGGGATCTGCTCTCCCACTCCCCTCTTAGAAGGACCCTTGTGATTACATTAGGCCCATCCAGATAGTCCAGAATAATTCCCCATCTCAAGATCCTTACGTGAATCCTGCCTTTGAGATCTCTTTTGCCATGGGAGGTCGCATAGTCACATGTTCCAGGGATTAGGATGTGAATATCTTTGGGGGGCCCATTGTTCTGCTGACCTCGCTGCCTTTTATAAGGATACAGGCTTTAGCATTTTTACCTTGGTAGAAGGGAAAACCAAGACCCAGAGAATTTAAGGAAGTGGTTCTGAGTCGCGTGAGCAAGTGCCAAATTCAGGTCTTCTGACTGTCCAACCCAGTGTCCCATGCCATTCTGGGAGTTATATTACTGAAAATGAAATGGAATTTTCCGTAATGTCAGCCACTGCAAAGGAGTGCAAATAGTTTAATGCTCAAAATTCCTCCAGAATATACTGCATCCCCAAAAGAACAAAGGGTTCCATGATGGAATTTTAAAATTGCTCCTGAAATTCTATCCTTTGGCCTGGTTTGTCTTTCCTCAGGAGGAATTTGCGACTTGGGCGGTGGGGGGATGTTTAGGGTTTTATGGTGCACACTTAATATCAATGCTGCAAGCAAATTCACCAGGCCTCCCCGTGACCTTTACTGAGTGTGGCCCTAAGCATTTAATGAATTGAAATGGAAATTAATATTTCTCAGCTTTAATGTCAATTAACTGGCATAGTTACACCTTCGGTCTAGATTACATATTTCCGTTTGTTGTTCTTTAATTAAAGCCACCATGGCAAAGGTGGACGTTTTAATTAATGTGGAGGCATTCTCATATTAATTTTAATTTAAACATAAGGATGTTTTTCTCCCTAAATTAGTTTCTGTTAAAGAATAGCCCAGAAGGAACCTTCAATTTCATTTTAAAGCCTAAATTTTACCTTAGGTAGTTTGCTTGTGTTCATTGCCTCGTATTAAGTCTTTATAGAAGCAATGTCAGCTTAACCAAAAGAAAAGGTAGTGGTTCTCATACCTTGGAGGGTTTTAAAAGATGATTGTAGGAAAATATTTCATTTTAGATGATTAATAAGCAATAACAAAGAAGGTTAAAAAGTAAGTTTAATTATCCTCTGGGCAAGAAAGAGCAAGCCCACTTGATTTTGCCTAAAAAAAGAGTGCAGTGTATTTGAGTTTCAGAAAACAAGCATCTGTTTGAGCTGCCTTTTCTGTAGAATGTTCTGGTAGTTCAGAATTGGTGTCTGTTGCTGGTCTTTGCGCTGACTCTGGTCCCTGTCTCTGTTGGACCTGCTGTGCTCTCCTGTGCCCTCCCGGCATGGGAGGCCGAAAGTTTAAGGGGCTGTGCTGTCGGCCACCTGGGTTGGCTTCCGTTCCTTCTCATGACTTTCTGGGGAATCGCCCACCACCTCAGGTGATAGACAGGAAACCCCGGTTACAGAACGGTGCTCTCTGAGAGTCACTGACATGGAATTGATTCAGGAAAGCTAGCACATCCCAGCTACATCTAGGAGATGCTTAAATTAGGTGATGTGTACCATGAGATTTGTCTAGTTCTTACATAATTTGTTGACACCTTGTCATGAGGACAGAAGTCCTCTCCCTCCCTCCTTAGTGCCCCAGTGAGCAAGAAATAAATACTGACGCTGGGAGGGCACAGGGAAGCACAGCAGGTCCACCAGAGACAGGGGACCGGGTCAGCAGACAGACTGACAACAACAGCAGGTGTCCTGAGAAGAGAAGGAGCTTAGGGAATGCAAAAGACAGAGAAAGGCGAGGATGGGGGGGAAGGGGAGGGGACAAGCCTGGAGAGGGAGGCAGGGACCAGGCTACTGGGGTCACAGGCCACAGCAAGGAGCTGGGGTTTTATTCTGGGTGTGATGGGAAGGCAGTAGAGGGTCTTACACCTATGTGAGATGTAATTTTGTTTGAGTTTTTATTTGTGTGCTGGGTGTAGAGCAGACAAACAGTGGCTGCGGGGAGACCAGTAGGTGCCTGGTGGTCCCATCTCACTGCCCCGGCCAGCTGAGGGTGCACACCTGAGGGTGCCAGCACTTAGCCTGACTCTGGCCTGCTAAATGTCTGGTAGATTTGGAGGCCTGATGCCGGGACTACAGTTAGCCTCCTGAGGGGCTAGAGTTTGCTTCTGGAAGCACAGCCTGTTAAATCACTTTGCTGTACACCTGAAACTGACACAACATTGTAAATCAACTCTACTTCATATAAACAGACAAATAAATAAGTGATTTTTGTCCAGCTCCTAATTTAGTTGCTGCTTCTGATATAATTTTAGAAAGATAGTCTTTGTGTGAGTTTTGTGTCGGTTTTTTTGGTTTTTCTTTTTTTATCCTACAGTTTTATATTCTCTTAACGAAAGCATCCAGATACTTCCTGGAACATGTGTAAGATTTAATCAATTAAATAAATAGTGACATTTTAGGTTGTGACCAGCTTTTTCATGTGTCCTTTAGCGGGATATTCACATGGGAATTTATATCACTGTCTCCCCTTCTGATGTGAAGGAGACTGAGAATCTGGCCCTTGGTCTTAGTGTTTTAGGATGAAGGAGATTGAGAAAAGCACCCATTGTCCTTCAGTTATTTTTTGTTCTCCAAATGATTTGTTATTTTCGAATAAAAACATGGAAAAATCATTTAAGCTGTTCAGCCACTTGGCCAAGGGAATTATGTTACTCATCTTAATTCTCTCTGGCACCTAAAATATTACGTGTGTATTAGGCTTACTGCAAATTCTCATTTAATAAGCGAAAAGAAATGCATTAAGTTTTAAACCTTTGCCCTGAAAAACACATATACTGTTGCTATTCTGTTTAATATTAAGGTAAGCTTGGATTGAAAGTGAGTACTGGAGGCAAAAAAATACATCCCTTAGATTTGAAGCATTTGAATGCAAGGCAGAATTCATGTGTTGTGAATGTATCTTTTTACCTGTGTCTGTGCTTTCAGGTTGTTTGAAGTGTCCTGTGTGCAGCTTCGTTTATGGCACCAAATGGGAATTCAACAGGCACTTGAAGAACAAGCATGGCCTGAAGTTGGTGGAGAACGAAGGAGATCCCAAGTGGGAGGTACTTTTTAAAGCATGGTATCGATTGTGACTTCCCTAAACGCAGATGACAAACCAGGCAAGCCCAGTGCAGTTCCTCAGAGCAGTGGGTTTTCTGGTTGGGAAACTTGGAAATCTTTTCAAACCCTGTCTCGTATCTGAGGGGTACCACTGGGTGAGAGCCAGGCCACGCATGTGACTTCTTACTCTGGGTTGCGTTTAGGCTGGTTTGTGAACGTCTGTGTTGGACTCGTCGATATTTTCACTTCTGTTATCACGAATTCAGAGTTTCAGAAGTTGCATCTGAAAGCAGAATGCACACAGGGCATATATTGGCAGTCCTCACCCAGAGGGCAGGGCAGGGCCCATTTGCTGCTTCTAGGCCCTCCTCTCCTTCCACCGGAGGCATGTGCTTCTACCCATCACCTTTGTTTTCCCCTCAGGTGTTGGAACCAGTTTCCTGACTGAATTATATAAAAGCCAGTAGCTGTATTTTAAAAGCCAATAGTTGTTTCTCTTTTCAAGTACCAGGGGTCACACCAGATTGCAGTTTACCTTAGGCAGAGTTTCTCAAACTGAGTCCTGCTAAAGTTATGACCCGAGTAATTCTTCGTGGTAGAGGGCTGTGCTGTGCATTTTAGAATGTTTCGTAGTATCACTGACCTCTACCCACTAGGATCCATTCACATACCCAGCTGTGAAAACCAGACTATCACAGACATTGCCCGTGTGCCCCAGGAGTCAAAATCACCCCCAATTGAGAACCACTTCCTGAGAACTTTCTAGGGCATTAGAGTATCCAGTGGGCTTACTCCAGTTAAGAATAAGGGCTTTGAAACAAATCCAACACCCCATGAAAAACAATAATACATCATGACAATGTGAGGAGTATTCCAGAATTCAGGGGAAGGGTTGTCCAGTAGGAGGGAATGTGTTAATGTGTCCATGTAGCCCATCATAATGAGAGGACTAGGGAGAAAAGTGAAATGATCATCTTCATAGATGCAGAAAAGGCATCTATGAAAATTTGACAAAATTCAGCATCCATTGATTAAAAACAGTCAATAAAGTAGAATTTGATGAATACATCTTTAAGATGAAAAGCAAAATGTATGTGTCTCAGCCCAAAAGCTGGCATCCTAGACTAGGGGGTTTCTTGCTAGAGTTGGGAACAGGATGAGGGTGCCCCAGGGGCTCTGGTTTTTAGCATCACGTGGGAGGCCTCAGCTGGTGTGTTGGACAAAGGCAGAGTAAATAGAGACATAAGAATCGGAAGAGAAGAAATAAAGTATCTCTGTAGACACAGGATTATGTTTTTGAAAGTCTGAAAGAATGAGTGAAAATCTACCACAGATTAAAACATCAAAAACATACAATAGTCATGAGTTATCTATAGAGAGGGCCTAGAGCAAAGGAACAGAGACTAAAAAAGAGATATTTTACAGACACGAGGAGAAAACATAAGTGAATTCACTTATAAACTGGGAGTGTGGAGAACTTTCCTAACTGGAACTCAAAATCCAGATTCAGTTAGGGAAAAGACTGAAAAAAAATTGACCGCGTAAAAAAATTTTAAAACTACTATGTAAAAGAACTCAAGAAGTAGAGGGGCAAATGCCAAAAAAATATTTTCAGTCATATCATAGAAAAAAGGGTGAATATCTTTACATTATAAAAGGCTTCTAGAAATACTGATGAAAAAGATTGACAGCCCAATGGGCGAAAGATAAGAAAGGTTCATAGAAAAAGAAATGCAAGTGACCTTGAATATCTGAAAGCACGATCAACCTGCCACATAATAAATGTAAGTAAAACTTGACAGAGATAGAATTTCTTACCTAGTAGACTGGCAAGAATCCAAAAGTTTTGACATCATCCCTGCTGGAGAGGCTGAAGGGAAATATGCACTCTCATGCATTGCTGGTGGGAATGCAAAACGATGTGACCTTTATGAAGGGGAATTTAGCAGTGTCTACTAAAATTACATATGTGTTTCTTTTTCCATTAACTAGACGATCGCACCGTTAGAAAATTATCCCAAAGTTATACTGACAAAAATGAGGAAAGGTGGGGCTTCCCTGGTGGCGCAGTGGTTGAGAGTCCGCCTGCCGATGCAGGGGACACGGGGTCGTGCCCCAGTCCGGGAAGATCCCACATGCCGCAGAACAGCTAGGCCCGTGAGCCATGGCCGCTGAGCCTGCGCGTCCAGAGCCTGTGCTCCGCAACGGGAGAGGCCACAACAGTGAGAGGCCCGCATACAGAAAAAAAAAAAAAAAAAAAAAAAAAAAATGAGGAAAGGTGATTGCACAAGGCTGTTTATTGCAGCACTGTTATATATAACATGTAGATAGATTTTGTGTGTGTGTGTGCACCAATAGATTGATGTAGAAATAATTCCAGATATATGTGTATACATGGTTAGTATACATACATGTATTTCTTAGCTTTCTGGGCTTAGAGGGCCTAGAAGCAGTGACACGCCGCTGGCAATGAACACACCTAGAATCCAGATCTTGGATTCTCAGGATAATCCAACCAAAGGAACCAGGGTCCCTTTGAAAAGTGGTTGATTCCAGGGCTGAGGCAGAAATTATGTAAGTTGACCCTGGAGCATTTTGCAGTACTAGAAAGTAACAACGTACTCCACAAAAATAAGACGGAGGCGTGCCAAAAGGACACACGAGACAACCCGAAGAGTTCCTAATGGGCCAGAGCTGGAACAATTTGAGTAACAACGTAACTCATGATGGTATTGGACTAAAACTGAAAGAATAGAATAAATATCTCTGCATTCATACTGACATAAATAAATGATGGAATAAGTGGTGGAGAAGGAACAGTTCTTCCCCGCAGAAGAATGCTGATTAATAAATGTAGAAGGAATGAGGGAAACAGAAAATCACCATTGGAACACCACAGTAATAATTGCAGCAGGCAAGATCCATTGATGAATGCTAGAACTAGTAGACAGAAGTTTAAGGAGAAATACAGTATTTATGTAGCCTCAAAGTATCTCCCCCTAAATAATTAATTATAGAGGGAAAAGTAGTAACTTTACAGTGGAGACGCCTGGCAGACACCACCTTAGCCACGTGATCGAGGTCAGCATCCTCAGTAGTAAGACGTAGTGACTTCATGTACCCCCTGATATGATGTGATCAGAAGGGCAGTCACCTCGTGGTGCTCTTCAAAAAAATCCTCAGCCTCCACCTGATCATGGGAGACCATCCGATGTATCCAACTGATGTGATGATGTGGATGGCCAGATGCCTGACCAGTTCTCTTCAGGAGTGTCTGAAGGACAGTCAGAGCTTGGAGGAGACTTTGGAGTTGTGGATGCTCAATGCACTGTGGGGTCCTGGATTGGATCCCGGAACAGAAAAAGGACGCCAGTGGAAAAGCCAGTGGAATCTGGTATTGTACCAATGTTGATATCTTGGTTCGATCATTGTACCATGGTTACAGCAGATGTCAGTATTAGGGGAAGTGGGATGAAGGGTATGTGGGAAGTCTCTGTATTTTTTTTGGAACTCTTTTGTAAATCTAAAATTATTTCAAAATAAAAGTTATAAAAAGGGAGGAAAGCACAGGTAGAAAAGGCAGGGAGATAAGATGGAGAGGGTAGGAAAGAAGCTAAACTTGTCTTAGCAGAGACCGACTGTGCAGATTTGACTCTGGAACTCTGATATAAATATAAGAGATACATTTCTTATGTAATAATAAAAACAAAATTACACTTTAAAAAGCTAACCCTAAAAATTGAGAATAGAATGAAATAAAGTATCTGAACTATATATCAAAACGATGGCAGAACTACATAGAGAAAGACTATTTCAGGAGACTTTAAGATAGAAATTTGATTGTTCCTCCCTAGTGGGATATAACCTAAGGGCAAAAAGAACTGCAAAAAAAGCACTGTTTTCAGTTATTCCACCGTCAGTGGTAGGGTTGATATTGTTACTCCAAGGCTGTTGTTAGTGTTTACAGACTGGCGTGAAGCACATCAAGTGTGTTTAAATCCATGAGTTTATAATGATACTGGGAGAAAAATCCTTAGTCACCTTTGTAGGATATTAGGGAGTCAACTCTATTTTGATAAATAAAACTCTGTTTTGGTAAATAAAGGCTCAGAATCAAACAGTTTTTCTACCTCATCTAAATAAACTATATCTCAGGGTAACCGAATGTTTGTGGAGAGACGTTTTTTATAGAAGTATTCCAGCTAACAAATGAAGATTTACAGTATTGCCATTTTGCAACCCTCCACTGATGTCATGCCAACATGGCAAAAACAGAGACACTCAGACATAGTGTCTCCTGATGGAAGCACACTGTGTTACCCGTGGAGCCTTCTTGCCAGAAAGGGAACTGATACCTAATTAAGCTTCTGCGTCTGACTTCCAGTTTACAGGAAATACAGTGGACAAGGGAACATATTCAGTGATTCCATGTTGGTGCAGTCAGCAAAAGCCAGACTGTTGGAAACTCTGAAGGCGAACGACCACTTTTCCCAACACAGCTATAAGCAGGGGAGAAAGAGTGGAGGGAGAGCCTATAAATACAAGTTCTGTGAGACTTTTATCAGTCAGTTCTAATATATGGATTTCAATAACTTACTTAAATATGATTTGTAGAACAAGTTGTGAAAAAATGAGGTAATTGGGGAAATTAGAACACCATTAAATATGTGAAGATATTAAGGAACTACTGTTAAGTGCTTTTTTTTTTTTTTTTTTTTTGTGGTATGTGGTCCTCTCACTGCTGTGGCCTCTCCCGCTGCGCAGCACAGGCTCCGGACGCGCAGGCTCAGCGGCCATGGCTCACGGGCCCAGCCGCTCCGCG